TGTCGCTTAACATACTGTGTTTGTGCAATTATTATTATTATTATTATTATTATTATTATTATCATTATTAATATTATTGTCACAAGTACTTGAAAATGGATGATACATCTTTAGAAAGGCATTGATTTTGATTTTGATGTAACTAATAATTTCACTAAGAAATATATACCAGATATACTGGTAGGTACTGCAAATTTGGTTTTGGTGTTAAGTCTGTTCAGTAGATATTCCACACCTGCTGCCTTTCAGTCAAAGTGATTCTAGAATCTACGAGTTTTAGAAAGGATAAGTTTGTGCACTGAGTTTTCTTTTGTGTTGTCATGTTGACATCGGCACATATGCACTAATTATCCAGGGTTGAAAGAAATTCTTAAAGATAAGGCAGAAACAAAATACATTGACTTCCATTTCTTAACAAACCTATTGAAATTTGAAGGAACAATTTATTACATGTAGTATTGTGAGGCATTTGTAAATACGGACATGTGCAAGTATTTCCATGTATATTATGTGTTAAGCACAGTCTGGACGACTGTCAAACATTCATGTTTTGTCTGACTCCTTCGTGACTGTCACCTTGTACAGTCATATGTTCAGTGTGGATCGGGTGGCCACAATGTATGACAGCATGTCTCACACCAGTGCTGGCTCCAGGTCCAGCTCACTGGGATGCTTCTTAAGAAAATCAGATATTTTACGCCAATGCGATACGCCAATGCGACACCTCCTTTGGAGGTTGCGTCAGGTGGACTTTCTACTCAGCCAATCAGCATTGAGGCTTCTATGTTCTCAGTACAAGTGAGTGATCCATTCAGATAAGCATATCTCAAAAATGAACATTTTGGGAAATTTCGAATGTGAATAATAATGTCAAGTTGTATATGTTGATATTTCATACATACTTCTGTCATTTCTCATTGCCATGGCTGTGTGACCTGAAGTGTGTACCAGGGAGAGCATATTAGTTTTCTATGGCAGTTTTCTTTTGCTGAGATTGAAGTTTCCGAATCATGGTGGTGAGGGAATGAGAAGTGAGAAGGCTGACACCTGATTGGTCAAGCTGTTTGCACTAGAGAACTGTATTCCAGGTACCTTCCTATATACACACATAAACCCCAGGTACCTTACTATATACACACATATACCCCGGGTACCTTACTATATACACACATAAACCCCAGGTACCTTTCTATATACACACATAAACCCCAGGTACCTTACTATATACACACATAAACCCCAGGTACCTTTCTGTATACACAGATGTACTAGAACCAGAATGGGTGTGCTCTATCATGGCAGTGTTAATGGCATTGCTGTATCAAGTCAATGACCAGATTTGATGATAATACTCAAAGTAGGTATTATTCTGATTAAAGGTCTTTCTGGTGGGGATTACAGTAATTGCAAATGCTACCAAGTTATGTGACAGCCAGAGTGAATCTCTGCATTTGTAAGTAGATTCGACCTGACTCCACTGCGATCAATCATGTCCATATTGCCAAACTGGGGTATATTTGTATATACAGAGATACCTGGGGTATATTTGTGTATACAGAAAGGTACCTTGGCTATATTTGTGCATACAGAAAGGTGCCTGGAGTATATTTGTGTATACAGAAAGGTACCTGGGGTATATTTGTGCATACAGAAAGGTACCTGGAGTATATTTGTGTATACAGAAAGGTACCTGGGGTATATTTGGGTATACAGAAAGGTACCTGGGGTATATTTGTGCATACAGAAAGGTACCTTGGGTATATTTGTGCATACAGAAAGGTACCTGGAGTATATTTGTGTATACAGAAAGGTACCTGGGGTATATTTGTGAATACAGAAAGGTACATGGGGTATATTTGTGTATACAGAAGGGTACCTGGGGTATATTTGTGCATACAGAAGGGTACCTGGGGTATATTTATGAGTATAGAAGGGTACCTGGGGTGTATTTGTGAATACAGAAGGGTACCTGGGCTATATTTGTGCATACAGAAAGGTACCTGGAGTATATTTGTGTATACAGAAAGGTACCTGGGGTATATTTGTGAATACAGAAAGGTACATGGGGTATATTTGTGAATACAGAAGGGTACCTGGGGTATATTTGTGAATACAGAAGGGTACCTTGGGTATATTTGTGAATACAGAAGGGTACCTGGGGTATATTTGTGAATACAGAAAGGTACCTGGGGTATATTTGTGAATACAGAAGGGTACCTGGGGTATATTTGTGAATACAGAAGGGTACCTGGGGTATATTTGTGAATACAAAAAGGTACCTGGGGTATATTTGTGAATACAGAAGGGTACCTTGGGTATATTTGTGAATACAGAAGGGTACCTGGGGTATATTTGTGTATTCGGAAAGGTACCTGGGGTATGTTGATGTTGAAAACAAAAAGACCCCCAAGGTGCAAATTAAGCACAGTATCTGCCTTGTCTACCTGTTTGAACCTGGTCCAAATTGCTGATGCATGTCAGCCATTCTGACCAACCGATCCCCATTCCTTGGCAACCTGCTGATCCTCATTGCCTGAGGTGAAGGGGAAAACTAATGTTGTCAAGTGATTTTGTCATGTTATTGATGTGTAAATACAAGTTAGGTTTGATATGATGTACATGTATGTTGCCCCACTATAGTCAAAAGCTTTAAGGGTATTTGGTGTTTGATGATCATCAAACTGTTTAAACTGAATAAAATTGCTTTAAAGACAATGTTTGTTCATGAGCTTCATGATGTTATTTGTAGTGTTGCAACAGTTGATTATGGCACCTAAGCCTTGCCATGGACATTGTTCTGAATGTATGTGTACTGATGCAGCCATCCTCGATATTCCAGTGTATCGTATCTCCATTTGGTATGAATAAATACCCTGGTCACATTCATCTTGGTGATATGAGGGGGCATGGGTGGCCCAGTCGTCTAAGGCGCCGCGATTCGCTGTGCAGAGTTGCGTCCCTTGGGCACGCCAGAAACCTATGATTGTGGGTTCGAATCCCGGTTCGCCCTGATTATGTTTCTAGGTTTGTCAGCACCATACCTGTTCTCGTGGGTTTCACCGAAGTGGTAAACGTCTAAGAGGTGCATCACTTCGGGCTTTCCTCCCACATTAAGCTGACACGCCGCGATATAACTTGAATACTGTTAAAAGCAGCGTTAAACCCAACTCACTCACTCACTCATCTTGGTGATGTCACATCTCCCTCTGCCTTCACTAAGATCGTACAGACTTTCACCAGTATATCGTGTCTCCATTCTGTACTGAGTGCTTGCTTGTCGTAAGAGGCGACAAGCGGGATCAGATGGTCAGGCTTGCTGACTTGGTTGATGCATATCATCGTATCCCAATTGCGTGGATTGATGCTCATGATGTCAATAACTGTATTTTCTGGTCCAGACTCAATAATTTACAGACTGCCATCATATAGCTGGAACATTCCAGCATTGAACAACAAACTAACAAACAAAAAGGGTATTTGACTGGATGGCTTTTTTAGTGTCATGTCATTCAAAACAGGCTCAAAATGGAGCTATGGTGGCTGATGTGCCAAGGTATATAGTCTAATACTGGACACACTTGAGACTCGAGGAGAAAGAACTGATGCCAACAGTTTTGAACAGATTTGCAGCCTGACACAACGTGTGGTACTTTAGTCTTCTGCCAACATGGATGACAATCAAGTTGTCTTTAGCACAGTGCATGGTGCTGCCAAAATACTCTGGTTTGTGAGATCTGTGATTCTCACTGTTACTAATCACATGACACTACAGAAATTCATTCACAAATGCTGTTTCCCTTTGAAATTGAGTGACAAAATGGCGGAAGTGGTTAATCTCTCACATTGTTATCTCCCCTGTATTCATGACCACAAAATGGCGACGACCGACCATGCTCAATAATATTTACTTATGAATAAGAAATAGGACTTGCATGTGCAATCGGCGTCAAACACTTCTGCACCCAATACATCACAATATGTATCACAGTACAGATAGCTGTATGGCTATATATTGCAATACAATTTATTTTCCCATGCACAGCCCAAATGAGTGATATTGCTGCTTGTTTCAATCATAAGAGAACACTGCAATAGCCATGAACATATTATTAGACACGGGTCTGTTCCACAAAGCAATCATTGTGTTAAGGTGATCGTAACTCCCACACATGACTTACGACAGTTATAGCGCTACGATCGCTTTGAGCAGCAGGGCCCTGGAAAACTGATTGATATATGGTGTCATTTGAATCAGACACAAAATGAAGCTTGATAGCATATGACTCCCAGTAGAATGGAGACCTCATCAGGTGGCTGGTCAGTGAATGACTATAGAGTATACTTTTACTGTTGCGATATATCTCAAAAGCACAACTTTGATATGTTTACAACATTGCTACAACTTTTGTACTTGTGTTTGGACAGTTTGAAATTACCTGTACAGTGTAAATTTCCTTAATGACAACCTATCATGTCTGCCAAGTCCTAGATTCAACTGACTTCATCTCAGTGGTTTACTGTCAAAAGACAGTTTCGGTAGTTATGTTTGCACAAGCTTGAGACCGTCCGGAATTCAGCAGGATGGCCTTGAAAGGCCTTAAGTGTCAATGTGCATTTAAAGGGCTTAAAATTTGACAAAATGGCTTGAAAGGCCTTATATTTATCAAGCCTTGCTGTTAAATATATAACAATTACTTTGTGCTCGTATAATGTATGAGGACATGATGTCATGGAAATGGTAGTCTGTAACTCGTCTGTAACTAGTCTGTAACTCTATTGACAGATAACATAGAGACTGGTCCATGGGCTATAGTATTGTAATGGGGGATGCACAAATGGAGACTTTTGGGCAATGAAATAAAGAAAGAGTACAAAATATCTCTGTGCACACTAGGGTCTTACTTTTAGCCTTGAAAAGTGTGATCATTGGCCATAACTTAGGTGGATCAAGTTTTGTAATAACCAATGAAAACCATTGTAACGTGGCGTGTTTGTTGCAGGTTACACGGCCCAATTCACTCCACGGCCAGGCAAAGTACCCCAGGACATGGCCAGCAAGTTCAATGTGAGTACCATTCTCCTTTAGCATCACATGACACATGACACACGACTCACGACTCACAACTCACGCCAGAGTAAAGCCATCAAGCCTCCACTTGATGCAAGAAAAGATCAAGTTGTTGGACTGTCGCTGTTCTGAATTGCATTCCTCCATCACCAGTATTCACTTTGCCATTGGTTCCAATCCAAATTATCTACATTATGTATACAATACGAAGTGGTAATCGCCTATAAACCTACAACCTACATGGGTTGCACCCTATAAACATGCAACCCATGTAGCATAATGAGATACATTTTAAGTACCACTCAAGCTTTACTCTCAATCAGTCAGTCACTCACTCACTCACTCACTCACTCACTCACTCACTCACTCACTCACTCACTCACTCACTCACTCACTCACTCACTCACTCACTCACTCACTCACTTGATGTACTGAGCTGGGCAAGGATAAAATATCGGCCGCTGCATCCTTGATGAGCATAGCTACTGTAGTTCAGCAACATAAATATTTCAGAGAGTATAACTGTTTATTCCTCATGTCATTGGAAACAGTAATGCTAAAATTAGTTTTTCTCCCCATATTTATTTCATAAAACATTGGAGGCAAACCACTTACTGTCCGAAGGCGTTGAAAGCATTTAACAGTTTCCAAACATGATTACTTGTTTTCGGCTTCTCTCATAAGGATATGATTGCCATGGAAATGGAACAGTTGTGACGAGTACAGGCGTCATGTACTTCTCAGGGTTCGTGCATATGGATGAGAGCTCATTAGAAATGTCATCGATCCCAGTTGCGTGGATCGATGCTCATGATGTCAATCACTGGATTGTCTGGTCCAGACTCGATTATTTACAGACCGCCGTCATATAAGTGGAAAATTGCTAAGTGCAGCGTTAAACTACAAACAAACAAACAAACAAACATTAGAACACACATACATAACCTTTCATAGTGACATCCTGGGTGCGTCTTGTAAGACTATCAAACTGTTCAGCTTCAATACACACACAGTGACATGGCTGGACAACTCATTGGGGTATGTTCGTCTTGTAAGACTATCAAACTGTTCAGCTTCAACACACACACAGTGACATGGCTGGACAACTTATTGGGGTATGTTCAACAGATGTCTTGTATCATATGAATCCATCCATTGTCAACAACTGTCATTTGAAATACTTGTTGGCATACAAAGGTTTTTGTGCAATATGACCATGTTTTGCATGTGTGTGACGATCTGGTTGTGGTCTAAGCCCCTCTAATACATGAGTACATGCTTATACTGCTGTGTGCATGCTCTTGGAAACATGACATTGAGAAATATTAACAGGACGTATAACTGCATTGTTTCAAGGATTCCACACCTTCATCTAGAACACCACAAGATGGGTGGAATATCACAATGTTTCATTTTTGTGGAATTTTCAAAAATATTTGCAATTTGATGGGAAGATGTATTCTTACCAACTTTCTGCCAGATGAATGGTTGCTTTGATTTCTGTGATGACTCGAAATCTGGAACCCTGTTGTGTATGAATTTGTTTAACTTTCATGAACTTTTCTCACTAACAGCTCAAACAAAGGATGTCAGTTCAATTTCTTGAACTAATATTTTGGTAAAGTTACTGTAACCACAGGAAATATACTTTTGATGGTAATGACTCGAAAGATTCTTGGAAGTGCAACATGAATATTTTAGCTAATGACATCCACGAAATAAGAGAAATAAGCCCGGAAAGCGGACGGCAGCAACAAGTTTGATTTGGAGGACATCGCAGGTAAGACTTTCCCAACAGCTGGTTATTCCTGCTTATAAGAATCATGCCAAATATGAAATATAAATTTTTAAAGTCTCTCCTCGAGTATTTGTTGATTTAGTTGCATGATTTGTTTTTTTCTAAAATTGAAGAATATATTTTTTAAATAATTTTCAAGGAATCCTTTGTCTGAGCTGTTTGTGTTTTGATGTTGTTTGGTAACCGAATTGATCGTAATTTTTTCTTTTCTAGGAACATGACAGCTCAATGGTGAAGGAGGAGCCCAGATCATCTCCCCTAGGTATGAGTGTTGTCATGACTGCCAGCAATCATCCAATCAGTGAGCTCAAAAGAGACCAGACTAGAATTCTGACTAGTGACACAAATTTTTCAAACAAGTTTGTATCAAGAACAGAAACAGTGCCTAGTAGCACCTCATTCCCATTTCATATACAACATGAACACCTTGGAAGTCTGGAAGAAATGGTGCGCCACCAGAACTACAGGAAAACAGCACCTTCTGCAAGGTCATTTCAACCCAATGTCAACCTTCTGGCAAGGTCAGATGGTTCCCATGGCAACAGCAATGTCATAGTAAGCCAGTCTGTAAATCAAGGGGACAGCCTGCAGAACGTCCAGCCATGTTCAAGTTCAGAATTTACGTGTACAATTTGTGCTTTCTCACACAGGGACGAGCCAACGGTTCATAAACACATGAGATCAGTTCATTTCAAGCAAACTTTCGTCTGTCCAATATGCAGATTGGTGTTTGCGTTTGACAAGGACCTGTCTCATCATAAGAAGCAGATGCATGGGAATGGCTTCGCGTGTGAACAGTGTGGTAAAGTGTTCACGCTCAAGTGTAACTTGGTGGAGCATGTCAAGCGGATTCACGAACACGGCGTGAACGCCAGGCACTTCATGTGTCCTGTCGTTGGCTGTTTGAAGGCCTTCACAAGACCTAGTCATCTGAGGATCCATATGACCCGCAACCATGTCACTGACCCATTCACACAGTATTAGGGTCTCCGAGACCTGCTACTAGTACTGGTGTAGTACTAATATATACTGAACAAAAAAGTTAGGGATCAGGAATATTTTTGTGGATCTTTTTTGTGTGGAGAAGTCTGAGTGGACAATTTAAAAATATACCCCCAAATATTCATTATCCCTAATTTTCCATTTGTTCAGTATGGTACTAATGTAGTATTAACTACTGTTAGGTGACAATTTTTTTCAGTTTCCTAATTCGATTGATCGGATCCAAAGGACACAAGAGATCATTGGACAATAAAATATTGTGTAGGTTTATTTTTGTTTACCAGATAACTTCCAAAATCAAAGACAATTAAAGTATAGTTAATAGTAACCTTGTTAGATATAATTGATCAAATGCATTGTATGTAATCTTTGGCCTCTGTCTTACAAACAGAACAAAGACTTCTTTATCAGGAGTCAACACATTTGAATGTTGCTGCTAATATTAAGAATCTGCACATGCTTGAGGCAAAATTAGAATATATTTTTACAAATTTAACAAACCAATTGAACAATTTGAAGCCAAGTATAATAAAAAAGATATTGACCTTCCCAAATATATTTTTATCATCCCAAACTGGGTTCTCGAGGAGATACCTTTGAATGAAATCAAGAGATATATCTGAGAAGATATTGCATCACAATGCTTTGTCAACCATTGTGACATCACAAGTTACCACAATGTCACAATAAGATGACATCACTAGTCTCTCTGCCACTGAATCTGGTTTGGTCTACTATTTACACTCAGGACACTGGCTATTAGTGTTCACAAACTGAAAAAGTCCAAAGAATAGAATCTTACACTCATGTCTTTTATGTCAAATACATCAACACTCAACAATAGAAGTTTAAGACTTTGCAAGCCTCAGAGTTTTGAACTTTCATTAACTTGTGTTTGATATCAGAAGACACTAGGTTTGATTATCTATTTATGTTTATTTGATCGTGAATGGTAACCTTTTGCTCTGGTTCAGTCCAATAAGTCAGTAGGGGGAAATCAGCTTTGTTTAGATTCTCCACATCTCAAACACACACAATTACAGAATTAACTGTCAACTGCAGGATATTATGGATTATGTGGCCCTAGGGAATTAATTAAGTTTGTAATTTGTATTTTCAACAGTAAATCTGGAGGGACATGAGTTTTTGTCTGAGAAAATGTGGAAGGGTGTTTATCTTAAATGCCAGCCTATTGTTGGAATACAAACGAGGAAAACAAAGAAATGTACAAGACAATCAGCACGAAGCAAAAGTTGAGAATATACTGACAATAATTTCACCTATATCCGTGACCATTTTTGTAACATCAAATAACACATCATTTCGCTTATTGTTTGCTACAGTTTGTTTTGTTATTCCCCCGACCTACAAGGGAGTAAAAAGTTATTCCAGGGAATTCTGATCCTGTCGGTCTGTCCTTCCAAGGACATTTTTGTGTGCGACCTATCACTTGAAAACTACTGCATAGATTCTTTTCAAACTTGAGGAACACTTTTTATACTAATAGGAGAGGTGCAGTGCGAAGTTTGATTTCAATATTTCAGAAAAATTACAGCTTTTATTATTATTTATAAACCTTTTACTTAAACGTTTGTGCGACCTATGACTTAAAAACTGCCACATGGAATCATTTCAGTTTTAGCGAACAGTTTCCATACTTATAGAAAAGGTGCAGTGCATGGTTTTATTTTGACATGTGGATTTTCTGAGAAAATATGAATTTTACATGTTTTGAACTTAGAATGTTTGTTTTACTTCAACATATGTGCGACCAATAACTCGAGAACTACTTCATGGATTGATTCTTTTCAAAGTTAAGGAATACTTTCTATAATAATAGGAGGGGTGCAGTGTAAAATATTGATTGTGATATGTGTATTTTCTGAAAAAAATATGATTTTTTTCATGTTATGAACTTAGAACATTAACATTTCTGTGACCTTTAACTTGAAAACTATTTCATGGATTCTTGTCCATTTGGGGGTACAGTTTCTATACCAATAGGAAAGGTGCAGTACAAAGTTTGATTTCATAAGTGGATTTTCTGAGAAAATATTGCTTTTTTCAAGTTTTGAACTTAATATATGTTGGGGTAAATAATCGGGGTATTAGTGAGCCCTGCTCACTTTTTGCCTGTTTACTATGTGTTATTAAAGTGTTTACTGTGAAGATCTTTTAGGTAACATTTTAGTGATGA